TATATTATATTATATTATATTAATTATAATGAATGAATGAATTTGCAAACAAAGAAACTATGGCTCCACTGCAGATGTGAATTGCCCACACAAGTCAGCAACTGTGGAAAAAATTGCAGGTTGTCCCTCAATATCTCTTCGCCCTTTCACACATGGCAAAAGACTACATTCCCAGACTCCCTTGCAGGTAGGTGTGGCCATGTGATTAAATCCTGGCTGATGGGATATGAATGGAAGTGATGTGACCAATTTCTGGGTTGTGCTTTTAAAAGGAAGGAGAAGGGTTCCTGCCCCCTCCCCTTGTCCTCCTTCTGCTGATTGGAACATAGACAGAAGGCTGGAGGTGGAGCAGCCATCTTGGGCCACAAGGGGGAAGATGGCAGAGCAACAAGATAGAAGGAACCTGGGTCTCTTGTGATTGGTGAAGCCACCATGCCAGCCTTAACTGCCAAGTATACTTTAACGTGAGGGAGAAATAAGTTCTGTTTTATTGAAAACACTATTGTTTTGGGACGCTATTACAGGTGTCAAGCCAATGTCCTAAAAATACAGCAGCAGAGCCAGCAGCAGAAGCCAGGCTCCTTGATTTTCCCCACTCAGGCCCTTTCCGTAATCCACCCCCCCATATATTTTATTTTCTCCCACATGTTCTCTTGTTCATGACCTGATCTGTTCCTCACAACAGCTCTGTGAAGTCCATAGCAGAGACAGGATGTCCATGATGTTCACTGGGCAGAGAGGAAACCCAGGAGGCAAGAATCATAGGAGACCTGCCCTGAGGCACATGGGCAGAGTTATTCCCATCTCTTGGATGGGGCAAGTGGGCTCAGAGATGTCATTTAGTTCTGCCTCCATGTCTGACTCCTAGTCTAGGGTCCTACCCAGCCTTTGGTGCTGTCCCTTCTTGTACCCTGGGCACCTTTGCCCTCATCGCCACTTCTCAAAATACAAGTGAGGTGGAAGTTTAGCAGAGAGAAGCCTCCGCATTGTGACAGCCTTGAGCCCTCCCAGCTTCCCGTGTGTTAGTGTGCAAGCACACACTAACACGCCAACCAGAGGGGGCACAAGGATGGAGTCCAGCTGGCATGGGGGTCCCAACACCCCCTCTCCTTCTGTGGCTGCTTATCCCCTTCCAGCAGGCCGCCCTTCTGCCCAGACCGACAAGGCCAGTCATCCAATCACTTGTCTGCTCCCCTGCCCTGCATCTCTGCACTTGTAGGTCCTGAGCACCTGCCCCATACCCCTGTATTCTGTAGCGAATGCTGTGAGAGCCCCATCCATAGCCCCTCAACACCCACCTTCTCCATATGTGTCCAGGCCTCCTACTGCAAAGCACATCTGACTCTCTGCTTAGGAAACACACTT